CATGAACTAGATTAGAAACGATACCTGAACTGCTCTGCCTCAGGTGCATCTTTGCGTAGAAGTGTTTGCCCCACATTTAACATATGAAGTACTGGAGAAAAACAGCAAAACGTAAGCATGGCTAAGAAAAATGAAAAGTAAATAATAGAAATCAGACCACATTGCAAAAACCAGAAGAGGTGCAATTTTACCCAAAGAGTAGTCTTCACTTCTCCTCCTAAGATCCTTCACAGTTGGAATGTGCTCTACAGGAATCACTAAGTAATGCCTGATCCATGCAATTGCAAAATACTCATTTTTGTAATTGATCACAGAACTAAGTCAATATATACCATCAATTTGAAGCCAATAATTGACCTGAAAGCTGCAGGCTTGATGTCTTGAAATGCGATGACCTTGTCATCCTGATAAGAATAAAAATTGAAACTTGATTAGAATCTGGTATCGAAGAAAGTACCCATTTGGATTAGAACTTTCTCGGCAACCAATCAGAGGTTAGAGAGCGTAGGAAATGAACACAGAAAGATGGAACAAGCAAGCGAATGAGAGAGAGAAACAGACAGAGTGAAGAAGAGGAGTGGAGCTCGATTTGCCAGCAATCTGACAGAAGACGCATGGCGACGGCGGCGGCGGCAGCGCTCCCGCCATTTCCCCCCCAACCCAGGAAGGACCAATCCCTAATCGCCATTTTCTTGAAGGGTTTAATACCTTTCCTGCCGAAACAAGGTTCTGAAACGACGACGTTTAGCTGGTTGAAGAGGAATTCCATGTCATGCCCTGTCTCCCTACTTCCGCTCAAACTCAGATGAATTCTTTGATCTCCAAAACCCTAATTCCCTCCGTCTCTCTTCGCTCCAAAACTTACTTCACTTCGATTCCCAACTCATTTCCTAACTTCAACAGGGCCACCACAGCTAGATTCATGAGTTCTGAGTCGGCTCAGCGAGTCTTCCAACTCAGACTCGATCCACTCACTGGGAACTCGGAGTGGGTCGTCATCGACGAGAACGAGGAAGGTCCGGAAAGTATCAAGGAGCCGCTTCTAGCTACGACGTCGTATCTCGACATGCTCAATGACTCTCCCCGGAACAGAGCCTACCGGTTGGCTATCGAGAAGACTGTAACAAAACCTTGCCACGTTCTTGATATTGGGTAATTCCATTGTAATTCAATTCAGTTATGCTTCTTGCTCTCTTTTTTTTTTTTTTTTTTTTCTTTTTGTTTCATTTTTTTCCAAATTATTATTGCAGTGCGGGAACTGGGTTTCTGTCAATGATGGCGGCAAGAGCAATGGGGTTGAGTGACTCAACAGCTTCTCTTGGTAGTAGCAAGGGGATGGTAACTGCATGTGAGTCTTACCTTCCAATGGTGAAGCTCATGCGGAAAGTTCTGCACAGAAATGGTATGGGAAGGAGTATTAAGGTTGTTAACAAACGCTCAGATGAGCTCATAGTTGGAGTGGATATTCCTTCACGTGCCGACGTACTTGTAAGTTTCACCTTTCCTGTATTTTCCCAGAATGTGATTGCTAGTCAAAGTTATCTTCTTTGATAGATGGTGGAGAAGTAAAGATTGCAGAATCTTTTATTTGTAAATGGGACAACTTTGGCTTATGAAATGCTAAGGTTCATTTCTAATGTACCATAAAAGTCAATTATTAAGTTTTACTGAGCATGTAGCCATGTAACTATAATCTATCATTGAAATGGGGTGATGGAAGCATACTGGAATCATAATCAGAGCACATGTCGTAGATTGTGTTGGGGAATTTTGTGAAATATTCAAGTGTAGGGTGTTGTGTTTTGATTTGGCTCCCTGGTTTCAAAACATTGAGTTCCTCAGTTATGTAATCACAGGTTAGTGAGATACTGGACTCGGAGTTGTTAGGTGAAGGGCTAATACCAACTCTGCAACATGCGCATGACATGCTATTGGTGCAAAATCCACTAACAGTGCCCTACCGTGCAACTACCTACGGCCAGGTTTTCGTCTTATCTTCTACTAAATCCCTTCTTTTTTTGGGTAAATTGGTTAAGCATCTGATTTTCTTTGTACTCTTTTTAATCATCTGATTGTCTTCAAGAATTCCTATATGGTGGATAGGTAGATAACTTTTCTTCTGCTGCTGCTGGTTGTTTTGTGATTTAAC